TCTCCCTGTTTCCGTCTCTCTCTGTGTATGAAAATGTATGTATGTATGTATGTATATGTGTGTGTGTGTGTGTGTGTGTGTGTGTGTGTGTGTGTGTGTGTGTGTGTGTGTGTGTGTGTGTGTGTGTGTGTGTGTGTGTGTGTGTAATTCTGTAGATGGATATATAGGTCGATATAGAAATAGGTAAATATAGATATGCAGTAGATATAGATATACATACTGTTATAGATACAGATATAGATACATAGATATATAGATACAAAGGCAAATATAGGTATATATATAGAGAGAGAGAAAGATAAATAGATAGATAAATGAATATAAATAGATGGGTAGATAAATGAATAGGAAAATATGGATAAATAGATAAGTAAAGATAGATAGATAAAGATACATTGATCACACGGCAGCCAATTCCTGTAGATCTGATGATAAATTGGGCAATTTGCAATCAGCTGGTTAGCTTCTCATTGACTCATTCTGTTAAATTAAAAATCAAATACGGAAATTTCTCAGGTGATCTGTCAGGCATTAATGATCATTTAATTTGTGGTATCTAGGAGGAAAAAAATCAGATGTGATTCTTAAGACTAAGGCAAGAGATAGTAAGTAATGACTATGTGGCAATCAGCATCTACATATATATATATATATATATATATATATATATATATATATATATATATATATATATATATATATATATATACATATATATATATTTAACTTATAAAAAAATCAAGTAAAACAAGCAAGAAAAGAAAGATATATCCTTTTGTTTTGATATATTATTTCGTCGTGGCAACTTCCAAGCTAAGCCCCGCTTCTTTGCTTTTATTCATTGCAAATATTAGATTTTTTTCGGTTATTTTTCTACCATGGTTATGACTGAGCCATTTTTAAGAAAACACACTGGAAAAAAAATGTTTAGCATAAGATATTGCACAGATTGACCAATTCAAAAAGGGGAGGAGCTAATGATGTCATCACATTTAGCCAATGAGAGATATAGCTAATTAGATAACTATTCATATGATTTACTCAGTATTGTTAAGACTACCAGAAGTAAAATCAATATCCCCCCCCCCTTTTATTTAAGATATCGCAGAGTTCCCTACCATTAACAGCCATTAGAATACTATTGAGAAAAAGTAAATATCACTTTTGGGGTTATCGACTAAATGGAAGTGGAACAACCGGGTTTATGTTTCTTGGCGGGAACCAAACGCTGCGTTCCTAGGTGAGGTTCGCCCCCCTTATGCCGCGCTGTTCCACTCCGCTCGCTTCGGCCTCTTGGTCAATGGCTGGGACTGCACGATGCTTATGAGCGTTTCTGTTAAATAGGTTTTATTCATATATATATATATATATATATATATATATATATATATATATATATATATATATATATATATTTATATATATATATATATATATATATATATATATATATATATATATATATATATAAATATATATATATATATATATATATATATATATATATATATATGTATATATATATATATATATATATATATATATATATATATATATATATATATATATATATATTATAATGGCCGAATCCAAGGAGCCAAAAGAAACCAGGACAACTCCCATATGTAGTATATTTTAAGCGTGATTCTGATTTAGATTTTATCACTGGCTAAAGGCAACAGGTGATATGCATTCTCTTGCCTACAGCTTGCAGTATGATGATTATCATTATTGTTATTATTATTATTATTATTATTATTATTATTATTATTATTATTATTATTATTATTATTGCTTTTTTAGAGTTTTTTTTAAGACCATCAATAAACTAAAAAAGTGTGTATGTGTGTGTGTGCGTACATCCATCCATACATACTTGCATATATATATATATATAT